ATGAAAAAACATGCATTTTTTCACTTAAGTATATTTAAAAACAGCTAGCTAACGCTGCAGCTCTTTTTTTTCTCTGAAAACTATGCAAACCCTAGCCTTCTTCTCCAGCCCAGACTTTCTGTGACTTCCCAATGCAGCTCAACGAGACGTCTTTGTAAGTCAGGTGCTCTGTGCAATTACCTGCCTCTTCAATTTAACTCCACTGAGCTAACCAAACCAGGAAATAACAGGACCGTTAGCTGATTGATTAATTCTGGTGGGGATAACCTCTGGAACTGGACACTGTTTTTCCTGGTTAAAGGACCACTCTAGGCACCCAGACCACTTCAGCTTAATGAAGTGGTCTGGGTGCCAGGTCCAGCTAGGGTTAACCCATTTTTTCATAAACATAGCAGTTTCAGAGAAACTGCTATGTTTATGAATGGATTATGCCTTCCCCTATTTCCTCTAGCGGCTGTCTCATTGACAGCCGCTAGAGGCGCTTGCGTGCTTCTCACTGTGATTTTCACAGTGAGAGCACGCCAGCGTCCATAGGAAAGCATTATGAATGCTTTCCAATGTGACCGGCTGAATGCGCGCGCAGCTCTTGACGCGCGTGTGCATTCAGCCGATGGGGAGGAGAAGAGGAGGATCGGAGGAGGAGAGCTCCCCGCCCAGCGCTGGAAAAAGGTACGTTTTAACCCCTTTCCCCCTTCCAGAGCCGAGCGGGAGGGGGACCCTGAGGGTGGGGGCACCCTCAGGGCACTATAGTGCCAGGAAAACGAGTATGTTTTCCTGGCACTATAGTGGTCCTTTAAGTGTTCAAAATATTGTGCAGTTTTAAGTGAACAGATTTTTCAAAAAGTATAAAATAATATCAAACATAAAAACAAAAATGAAGTTTGAAATATTAGGAAAATCAATCACTACTAACTCTTTGATCTTTTTACTACCAAAAATCCAAACACTGTATTTATAACTAGCACCCTTACAGAGAAATGTATTTTGCAAAAACATGCCCTGATTATACCCGAGCAGCTCAACAGTACATTAGCAAGATCTGCCAAGCAGGAACTATTAATTCAGGAACCAGCTTTGCAAGCATGATCTACCACATCAGCGATAGATACTAGCATTGATGTGAACAGTTGAGCAGTTTGACATATCTGGCCATTGGCCAATGTAGGACCATCTGAAAGTTCGAAGGACAAATGGATTATGGTTTTAATATTTTGCAATTCTCTCAGTAGCAAAAGGGTTAAAACGGTCAGCAAAACATTTAAAATACATAATGGAATAGAAGCGTAGAATATTCACACTCCTGATTGACACTTATATAGTATTAGACATCATTTGATTCAATATACTTGAATCTGTGACAGGCAAATTGAATAAACAGAGTAAGAAGAGAAATAGTTGCATCTACGGGACATATGGACTTGGGTTATGATATCCTCTAAACGTCATTTTGGGCCCCATGAGAATGCTACATTATCTGCTCATATCCTGCCCTGGTCTTATCCAAAGCACTGGGTAATCAGTCTGATGGTTTTCCAGACAGACAGACCCTTGGGAGCGAGAGATGGATGGGCTTCCGTGTACAGAGGGAAAACCCCCTTTAAAGGGATGTGCAATGAACTGAAAGATTAATATGAAGATTGAGGGTAGTTTAGGGGTAAACCGAAGAACACAACACAACACATTACAGTTAAAATCATAAAAAAGAAAATCGTAGCAAAAAAACCCAAAAACTCAGCATGAGAAATAGATGCATTTAGGATTAGTAATTAAACTCCAAAAACTGAACGGAATAATTGAAGTTATATTTTTTTCCTCAAATCAGCTATTGTTTGCAATCGCAATTCGGTCTTCGCTCATTCGTCAGTCTTTCTAATGAATTAACAAAATTTCGGACAATAGCCCCCACCCCCCAAATCACCCTGATGAAGCGAGGTTAATAAACTGTAGTGGAGTCAGGAGGGGGTGAAAAAAAAACAAACAAACAAAAAAAAAAAAACACAACAGCAAAAACAGATGGATCCATGACAGCGCTGCTTTAATTTGATCCAATTAGAAATTTTTGTGAATAATTCCGGTGGTGTTTCTTATTTTAAACTTGGTAAAGTTTGGCTGGTGAAGCTTGCTCTCCAGCTATTATTAAACTACATTTCCCACAATGCTTGACAAGTCACTGTTCACCTGCCTAGCGTAAAAGAAAAAGGAAGAAAATAAAATGGAGGAAGGTTTTTGTAAAATAAATAAAAATAAACAGACAGGTGGGTAATACTGAAAAATCACTTCGTGGTAAGACACCAACCGGCTACTTCATGCAGCAAACTGGGCTTGTAATAGCTACTGGATACATCTGCAGGTAACATGATATACAGAGACAGATCAATAAGCAGCAGACAGGCTCCCCTTGGGCATAACATCAAGGGCACAGGATGCACTATTACAATGCAACAGTAGCAAACCGCTCAAAAAAAACACAAAAATGAATTTAAAAAAAATGTAAAAAATGAATAGTTGGCAAGGATTGCTTTTACTCCAGTGCTACTAGTCACGTCCATTCTACTACATCATTCAAATAGTATGTGGTTTCATGTTTTTTTTTCTTTCTTTTAAAAAAAAAAAAAAAAGACAATCAAAAAATTTAACATTTGATTTGTTTTACCAAGCAACACAAAAACAGCTTGGAGGAAAGACGAGACAGGGGAGATATGATAGAAACATTTAAATATATAAAGGGAATCAACACAGTAAAGGAGGAGACTATATTTAAAAGAAGAAAAACTACCACAACAAGAGGACATAGTCTTAAATTAGAGGGACAAAGGTTTAAAAATAATATCAGGAAGTATTACTTTACTGAGAGGGTAGTGGATGCATGGAATAGCCTTCCAGCTGAAGTGGTAGAGGTTAACACAGTAAAGGAGTTTAAGCATGCGTGGGGATAGGCATAAGGCTATCCTAACTATAAGATAAGGCCAGGGACTAATGAAAGTATTTAGAAAATTGGGCAGACTAGATGGGCCAAATGGTTCTTATCTGCCGTCACATTCTATGTAAGAGTATGAAAGAAAGATAAGTATATTTTAATACAATTTTGAGAGAGAGAGAGAGAGAGAGAGAGAGAGAGAGAGAGAGAGAGAGAGAGAGAGAGAGAGAGAGAGAGAGAGAGAGTGTTTTTAATCTTTTGTCGCCAATAACACAATCTATTTTGTTTATTACAGTGCAATATGTCAAACTGGAAATATTGAGCATCACTGTGGGTGGAACTGAAAAAAGAAAAACAAAGTGCTTATTTAGCATGTATATGGCATTTCTAAAGTTATTCTTGTTTGTGAGGTGCGTAGGTAATATAAGGAAAGAATGGGGTAGGTGTAGGAGTATGAATTTATGGGAAATCAGAAGAAAAAAATAAATAAACCTTACAATCGTGTGTTTAAGCTGCAGGAAATGGGTGTATGTTTTCGAGTCAGAGTTGCACACAGATCTTATTTTGTGAAACAATGAATTATGATGTCAAACGCAATGCCACTTGTATATCTTCTCCTCCGTCAAGGATAAACAGGTAAAAAAAAATGTGAAACCTAAAGTTAAATAAGGATTAAACGTGATACATTGTATATAATAAAACATTTTTAAAAAAATACGCCAAGTGATCCACATTACATGAAATTCGAATATATAGAACCACTAAACTGTGAATTCTAGAGAAGAAAAAAAAACAAAGAGACATCGGCGCTGGATTCAGGTAAGTGGCTGAAGGAGTTTACCCCTTCAGCTCTGCGGGAGGTAGGGGACCTAATAACCATTTAGTGCCAGTAAAACAACTGTTTTCCTGGCACTATAAGATCCCTTTAAGTAATCCACTGCAGAGTGAATTCAGCACAGTAAATACTACTGATGTGTTATCAGTGTGTTGTTGCACGTCTGATCCAAAACTAAACCCGCTAGGAACTCAGTGCTGGTATACCCCCAATCCAATAACGCAAATCAACAAAATGTATTTACACACCCACATAGAAATCCCAAAGGAGGGCAGAGAGCTGTTGTATATTATGTGTGATCTTACCGCAGTCCAGGGGCGTACCTAGAGCATTTGGCACCTGGGGCGGGTGCTATTTTTGGCACCCCCTCCCCCCCAACTTTAAATGTAAAGAAACAACCGTAATTTTTTAATTGTATTAAGCAGTGTTTGTGTGTTTGAATGTAAGCATGTTTTTGTATAGAGTATGTGTGATTGAATGTAAGGGTGTGTTTGTATGTAGTGTTAGCGTTTGAATGCAAGCATACATTTGTGTGTTGTGTGGTATTTGAATGAGGTGGTATGGTTATATATAATGGTGGGGTTTGTATGTAGTGTTGATGTTGAAATGCATGAGTGTATTTGTGTGTAGTGTTGGCGACACACTGACAGATACATATACACACATGCAGATATAGTTGCGACTTTATGAACAATATATAGGGGGGGCACATGAGATACCAGTCAAAATGGGGGTCGGGAGGAGGGGAGAGCACTAAAACTTTTTACTAGGGGATGGGGTAAAGTGCTGCCATTGGCTGTCTGATGCCAGCATGCTGTGCTCTGCGTGCTAGCATCTGACAACACATTTGCCACCCAGATTTATTGTTGTGGGCTGGCTGACACCTCTAAACTTCAATCTTTGTTTAGCAGATAACTCCCCTATTTGCTATCTTTATGTGGGATTGCAATATTTAAGAACACCAAATAAGGAGCTATCTGCTAAACAGCATCCTCATTTGGGATCTTTAAATATGGAAATCTCACATACGGGCACTAATTTAGGGAACTATCTACTAAACAGCCAAAAGATCTAAATTAAAAATCCCTTTTCTTAATTTCAGTTGTTGCTTAGTAGATAACTCCCTTATTTGTTATCCTTATGTGGGATTGCAATATTTAAGGACACCAAATAAGGAAGCTATCTACTAAACACATACACATTTATATATACACACACACACACACACACACACACACACACAATAGTGGTGTGTCTGTGTGTGTGTGTGTATATATATATATATACACATACATACATACATACACACACACACACACACACACACATATATATATATATACACACACACACACACACACACAATCACAGCACACACACCATACATACACACACACACAAACACATCTACTAATTAAGAGGTCCACCCAGCCTCCCTACCTTGCTCTAGAGCAGGGGTAGGCAACCTACGGCACTCAAGGTGTCTTTGCACGGCACTCAAACAGGCTCTGGCCTATCAGGAGTCCCAGTAAAACTTCAGATATCTGCTAATACGAAGAGGTGGTGAAGGACAATCCTCAATTTATGCATTGCAGCACATAGAGGAAGTTTTCTCAGATCACTTCCTCCCAGCACTTGTGAATGGGAATCCACATTGTAGTATAGCAGCTTGCAACTGCTGTTGCAGCTCCTGTCCTTGACCTGTACCTGGCCAGCCTGGTCCCCACTGGAACCCAGGGAAGCCACCCACACTGCTAGATATACACAGAAATGCAGAATAATCCTCCCCTCATACAAATAATACGAATAGCCCACAAACAAACATACAATCCGCACAAACGTAACCCGCTAACAATCCACATACATGCACACAACCACACATGCAATACCCCAAACAGTCCCTCATATACGCACACTACCAAACGCACAATGTGACATATCCATCCACACACACAATTCCACAAGCAGCCCTCATACACAGCCCACATTCATAGGTATCATACACGATACCATAAACTACTAATGAACATATACAATAGAATAGCTCATATACGCACAAATACAACAATACAAAAGCAATTACAGAAAAAATAACACAAGCAGAAGACGGCAACATACACACCTCAATTTAAAAAAAATAGGACCGACACGGTACGAGACATCACAATCTTATATCGGCACAGTGCTGCTAAAAGGTTGCCTACCCCTGCTCTAGAGGGCTGGAGTGAATCCTCAGTCCCTGGTGGTCAGTGGTTGCTGCTGGGTTCTCTGTGCTCTTTCTGCACAGGTCCCTCGCGTGCCCTGTAATGACGCCGAAGCCGGGATTACATCATATCCCGGCTGCCGGCTCACTGCAGGGTGATGACCGTCAGGCACAGTCAGATGCACACAGTCACACACACACAATCACAGTTACACACAGCACACACTCTCTCACACACGTACAGTCCGCTTGGGCTGGAGGAGGAGTGGATTCAGTCCCTGGTGTGTAGTAGTTGGGGAAGCAGGGACTCCTTCCTGCTTCCCCTCTGTGTGCAGCAGTAAGAGGCTGTCTTTAGCTCCGCTCCTGCATATGACTTGGCTCCGCCCCACAGCTGTTCTGGCTCTGCCCCCAACTCACCGTGCAGTACTTACACTGAATTTCCGGCCCCTACATGTGTGAGCTGTGTCGGCTGCCTAGCACAGGTCACAGAAGAAGCCCAAGCCTGGCCAGCCCTGTTGGCACTCGGGCCTCCCAAAAAAAGGACCCAATATTCCCCTAAAGCACCTCAGCTTTAAAGGAACAATGAGATGAAGTGATCTGGGTGTCTATAGTGTCACTTTAAGTGCATGTTCCCCTCTGGTTTATTTTATAAAAGCGCCAGTTTCAGATTGGTACTTTTATAAATCACTTTAACACAGAGAGACACTGGTTACAATGTTGCATTTTTGGCAAATTGTGGCTACCGCTGTGCATACGCTGTGTGTCCCATCTGACTGAAAATAAGATATCAGTAATGATTACTTCACAGTAGGAGGATCAGAACTGCAATAAAGGGTAAATTTACTTGATTTTTTTTTAATCCATTCAATGGGCCTCAGAAATAAAATAAAATTTAAAAAACCAAAAACACACAGATATTAAGGAACACTATAGTCACCTAAATTACTTTAGCTAAATAAAGCAGTTTTAGTGTATATATTACCCCCCTGCAATTTCACTGCTCAATTCACTGTCATTTAGGAGTCAAATCACTTTGTTTCTGTTTATGCAGCCCTAGCCACACCTCCCCTGGCTATGATTGACAGAGCCTGCATGAAAAAAAAACTGGTTTCACTTTCAAACAGATGTAATTTACCTTAAATAATTGTATCTCAATCTCTAAATTGAACTTTAATCACATACAGGAGGCTCTTGCAGGGTCTAGCAAGCTATTAACATAGCAGGGGATAAGAAAATCTCAATTAAACAGAACTTGCAATAAAGAAAGCCTAAATAGGGCTCTCTTTACAGGAAGTGTTTATGGAAGGCTGTGCAAGTCACATGCAGGGAGGTGTGACTAGGGTTCATAAACAAAGGGATTTAACTCCTAAATGCAGAGGATTGAGCAGTGAGGCTGCAGGGGCATGTTCTATACACCAAAACTGCTTCATTAAGCTAAAGTTGTTCAGGTGACTATAGTGTCCCTTTAATATAATTTATTATAATAAAAAGACAAAAAGTCACCCAGACCTCTTCATCTTACTGAAAAATTCTGGGTGCAGTGACCGTGTAGTTTTAATCCTTTAATGTAATAAAATAAATTAAAAGGTCATTTTATAAAAACTGCAATATTTCCACTGCAGGGCTAAACACACATCTAGTGTGACAAATAACTAAAGTTGGCCTTCTACCATTTCCGCAGTTTTGCCTCAACACAGCCTAGGGGAAGGAAAGGCCCCAATGATGGCCAAAACACCAGAGACCAGGCTCAGACTGGCCATTGTGCATACTAGGCAAATGTGGGCCACGATGGCCATGGGCTGAAGCCGGCAAAAAATTTTAAAAAATAAACTTCAACAATGGGAGCAGAGCCATGCTGACTAGTTCCTGGGTCTTTTTGCCTATTCAGCTTTAAAATTGCTGCAAAGATACTTACCCTGCATCAGTGGACTGATGTCAATTTTTTTGTGGTAAATTGGCTACCTATCTGACTCTAAATCTGGAACCTCCATGAGAATTACAGCCATTGTGGTCTTCCCAGACAGCAAAACAGCTTGAGGTGTTGGGGCCTAGTCTGGTTGATGAGCTCTGTGGATGGGAGAAGTGGCTTAGCTCCAGGTTGCCTGTGTGGTATCCTGCTTGTGCCTCGTCCCCCACCTTGGACCAGCAGAGGTTACCCTGGTCCACACCAGGAAGGCTATAATGTATACATTGTAAAGTGCTACGGAACATGCTGACTCTATAAATACTACTACTAATAACATATCGAGTTTATCTACAAAGGAAACACTTTTACCTTTTTATTCGTCACAGTAAAGACAAGATGGCCTTCTTATCAGCTTTATTACAAATCACAACGCAAGGCTCATTGAAGAGATGGGATGCAACATTTCTAACAGCATATAATGCCATTTGTGAGAGATTCTGGCAATGCATTTAGAATTGTGATCTCCAGCTCACCTGCTGATACGCCTGCTTAATGTGGAGTTTTAGCCAATGATTCTCCCACTAGGCTATGAGCCCAAAAGGGTACTAACCCTGTACACCATCTACAACCTCGGGAGGATCTATGCATGGGACTCTCACCCACTCACACAGAGTGGAGGGGTCAGTGGACTATGGGTGGAGTTTGGGGTGACTACTTTGCCGAATACAGCCATTTCTATCTTTATTACAGCAGCTATACAAGCTTGAGTGTCGGATGATATTAAGCTTCCTTCCCCAGCCATCTTGACACGGTTACAGTCCATTTGTTCTGGGTTTGCATCATGATACGGTGCACGTTTCACTTGTTTGCTTTTAGGAAAGCCTTTGTGGTTTACAGCTTCATTTAGCTTTTATAATTTACAAAATTTTGCAGATATGCACATTATTTAATGGATACCGCTTCTTCATTTCAAGGGGACATGCCTATACCAGTTAGTGCTTTTGTCGCTGCACTACAAAAAAAATAAAACTTCAAAACAAATATATAGAAATAAGTTGATAACAGCCTTACATTAAAGAAACGTTATAGGGTTAGGAACACAAACATGTATTCCTGACCCTATAGTGTTAAAAACACTGTCTGTACACATTTTAAAAAGGTAGGCCTTATACGAAATAAAATAAAAATAAAAAACCTTTTGCAAAAAATATATTAAAAAAAAAAAAAAAGTTTCCACAACCCTAAATTCCATACTTTTCCATGTTCCAAGACGTGGTTGAGTATTCGCTGCCAATCCTGGCCACTCCATGTTTTCGGGAAATGTACATCAGATCCAAAACTATTCCAGACAGGCTACTTTAACTTGCTATTGGAACAGATTAATCAAGGCAAAGAGATAGGATTACATCTCATGTTTGAATCTGGTCTGATTTGTTAATTGTACACAAAAATGGGGATGGAATTAAAACAAAAACAAACAAAAAAAAAATAGCAATTTTTTCCACCTCTTGATATTTTACATCAATTTTGCAACTCTCTTGTTATGATTTGTGGATTAGCGTGTAGAACCCTAAATTGAAGCAATGTCTTGGAACGCGTTCAAAAACCCTGAATAGCCTTATTCAAAGAAATAAAATAAACAGAGTACATTGGTTCCTTGCTCCCGAGTGCAGTCTAAATCTGGAGTGCTGTGGTTTTGTCCAGCGCTCAGCAGTATAATTTTCTAGAGTGCTAAATAAAGACGGCACAAAGACCTAAGAAAAGAAAAGAAATTAAAATTTTTTTTCCTATTTATTTTTTATATAGTCCACTTTGGTTGTAAGATAAATCACATGTTGCTGTTTATAGAATACTGCAATGGGGCAGTCATGCAGATTGGACATTTTATTTATTTATTTTGTGTTATACGTATGTGCAGCATTTTGTCGATATTTTACATGTGATAGAGATTTCTTAATGCAAGTTACTCTTCTGAAGATATATAATTGTAGGGAACTGCAAATTAAACTTTTGTGGGGAAAAAACCCCAAAGAAGAGAGACATGCGCACAGAATGGACTTTGCTAGCTGCACTAGTGCCATCCAAACATTTAATGGAGGGAAGGAATACACAATGCCCCCCCACAAACATGTGTGCCCAAACATTTTTAGATCAGGTGTTCTTCACCTACAGTTTCTGTGTGTTGTTACACATTTTTTGTTAGAATCAATGGAACAC